AGCCGGTAGGGCCGGGGACGTTCAGCCTTTATGGGGGGGGGGAACCCGTCAAACTCCTCGGGGTACCTGAGATGTGCTTAGCAGTTTCTTACTGACCTGCGCCCCATCTGCTTCTGTTTTCAAAAGGTCAGTGGAGGAAAGCTGGTTGCAGTAAAGGCCCGCGGGTCTCAGCGCCGGGTCATTTCCCTGTCAAAAGCAAGATCCAGGCTCAGCTGGGGCTCCCGGATGCTGGAGGGGCACTCGCCGCCCTCTCGAGCTGAGTTTGGGGGCGTACGGGGACCGCAGATGGGGCAGAGCAGGGAGCTGTGCCGCCGACATCCTCCGTGGGCTGCAGGTTTTTGGGGGGGATCGGTGGGGGGCCCTGTTTTGCCTTTCTCCGCACCTTTGCCTTGGGCTGCTGCCGCCTCCGGGGGCATCTCACCCCCAGGGAGCACGAAATGCCACCCAACTGCTCAGCAAGAGGGGTAAAAGCCACCGGCATAGCCCGTGCACCGCGGCCAGCTCAAGGAAGGGACCAGCCTCCTTCCTCGCCGAGCCCTGCGGCTTTTCCCCAGGGAGGCTGCAAGCCCCAGCCCGCAACGCTCCCATGCAAAACCAACAAGCCAAATGTGTCCTCCGGGAGCTTAATGATGCTGAGACAAACCCCGGCAGCTACAAAAGCTGGAGGCATCTTGGTCTGGCCCAGGGAGGATCACACCAAAGGGTTGGGACTGCGGAAAGGTTCTGTATCCAACCATTCCCGTTCCCTCTTTCCCATCCCGAGGTTTCACAGCTCCCTGGGGATGCACAAACGGACGCGCTGCCAGCCCGCTGCGAGCGCTGCAGGTGCTGGAGGTGCCAGAGACGCTCGGCACGTCCCTGCAACCGCCAAGGGCACACGGGACATCCCGGGACACCAGTGACCTTGGGCTCCAGCACAGCGACAATGCCAGCAGAGGCAGCCAGACCTTCGCCGCTTCCCCCTTTGGACACTGGTACCCCCAGGGCCAGAGAAGTGAATGCTGAACCCCTGGGAGCTGGCTGACCATCCCGGGAATGAGGGACGGTGCGGGACTGACCTGCTCCGAGCACATGGAGTTCATCCCGGGCATCTGCAGCGAGTTCATCTGCATCTGTCCGGCCATGGGGTTCATGTTCTGGACGTTGGTGTTTCCTCCTGCCATGGAGACGGTGATGCTCATGTTGTTGTACATGCCCTGCTGAGCAGGCGCCGGCTGGCTCTGCCCCGCTTGGCTGAATACGCTGAGAGAGAGAGAGAAAAAAAAGCATTACCCGGGTGTACGTGGCAGCAGGAGACACCTCGAGGTGTGTGCCGAGCCCCTGCGGTGGCCCGAGCTGTGACGGCAGCCGGTCTGCCTCTCAGTGAACACCAAGACCGTCTGCGGCGGAGCAGCTGGGACAGGGAGGCATTAGAGGTGCTGCCTGCAGCGAGGCTTAACCAGTGTGGAGGTTGGGAGGAAGGAAGGTGGCCGCTGTGGGGACATCCACCCTCCGCTCCTGCTGTAGCAGGAGGCTCCTCGGTGTGACGGGGTAGAGCAGGAGAAACAGCAGTGCCAAGAGAGGGATCACTGTAGGGCGGCAGCCTGGATTAAGGGTCAGTCAGATGCAAAGCCCTGGTCTATGTGACACCAAGTTCACCCCTTCACGCTCCTTCCAGTGCCCTCCTCAACACCCAACCATCCCTATTTCTTCTCCAGGCAGGAGGACAGCTCTCCATCGCAAGGCAAGGGGAAGCATCCCACCTCCAACAGAGCTCCCACCTCATCCCACCCAGCCCGCTAACCTCTTGCTCCGTGCTGCCTGACCAGGACAGGTTAGCTGAGCTACCTGCACAGAGCCAACGCCAGGTATCCCCCAGGTGAGCTTTTGAGTGTTTGGGGTTTTTTTTCTCCCCATTTCTGGAGAGCTGAAGCTCAGCCCTGACTCATGCAAAAGAGGCAACAAGTGTGGTGACTCTTCCCGTTTGCTTCCCTACGTCAGAGCTGGCCACGCCTTAAGATGGTCACACAGTGACCTGGCACTGCTGGTCTTGACTCAATTTATTGTCATGTTTCCTAAGCCCACTTTCACATGGTATAATTAAGCCACTCGTTTAATGACAAGCCAAAGACCTGCTTCATGTCTCACTCAACACACATGCTCATTCAGCTAAACGCTGTGGGCCTCTGGCTGCCTCCGAGGCGAAGACAAGGATAAGGCCAATGGTGACATCAACCGTGGTGAGGATGATGTCATGGAGGATGTCATGGTAGGAGGACACGGCCTGAGCTCAGCACGTGTCCTCAGCCAGGTGTCACCTACAGGCACCGCCACCCCTGCCAACGCCCTGCCAGGGGACCATCACCTCGGTGTCCCCTTGCTGCCCTCTCTCCATGCCACCCGTGCGCTCCGGGTTATCCCCACCATGATCTTACTTGCTGTTCCCCATGGCTCCTTGCTGCCAGGTCTTCATGTCAGGTGACTGGTAGCCCGGGGTCGGCGGGGCCGGCTGCAGCATGGGGCTTTGCGAAGGCGGGAGCTGGGGTGACATCAAGGGGCTGCTGGGGCTGAGCGACGGGGCAAAGGTGGGTTCGCTTTGCTGACCCATGCCTGGGGAAGGACACCATGATCTTACTTGCTGTTCCCCATGGCTCCTTGCTGCCAGGTCTTCATGTCAGGTGACTGGTAGCCCGGGGTCGGCGGGGCCGGCTGCAGCATGGGGCTTTGCGAAGGCGGGAGCTGGGGTGACATCAAGGGGCTGCTGGGGCTGAGCGACGGGGCAAAGGTGGGTTCGCTTTGCTGACCCATGCCTGGGGAAGGACAGACGGCGTCAGTGGTGCCCAGACCCCCGCCAGCAGCCCCAATTCCCTCCTCCTCCCTTGCAACCGCTGGCATCAAACCAGAACTACCATCCTTGACTTTCGCTCCCGGGGTCTCTGGTTTTCATTTTGAGCAGCTGTATCGCTCAAATGTAAATATTTCAAGGATGAAAGAGCAGGGGAACCCCCCCTCAAGTGGTTTCCGTCAGCAGGTGTTCCTCTTTAGCATCACACCTGGCTGGAAAATAGCCAGGGTAACCGATGAGACGATGCCAAAGCAGGTTCCTGCGGGGCTACTGTAGCCACACCACCATTTTCTCTACTCATCAGTGATGTCCACCTTGCTGAGACCCTGCACCGATGCGCGAACGCGAAGACCTTCAAGACGGTGCCCGTCGGTGTGCAATTCCACGCCGGCTCACCCACCTCACACGAGCGTGGTGCCCACGCAAGAGGCGTAACCTGACTGCAGCTCATTCCAGACATCTCAGCGAGGGTTTGGCTTTTTTTCAGAGTGTATATATTTAAGGAAGAGCAATTTAGAGGACTGCCTTGCGGTTTGGTTTTCAAGGAAAGAGTTAAGGAAATTATTTTCAAGGAAAGAGTTAAAGTTGCCCAAATGGTATCTTTTTTTTTTTGGAGATTCAACCAGAAAAGGTCCCTTGGGAGGTGGAGACCAGAGACCAGCCCAGGGGGCAGGTCGGCCGAGATGGCTGGGGATGAAGCCTGGGGCGACGGGCGAGCAGAGCTGGGCTGTGGCATCCTCAGGGGTCTCGGCTCTGCCCTCCACCTCTCCCTCCCTGCCGCCGGATGGCTTCCCAGCACAACCAACTGCTCGACGTACCTGATCCCGAATACTGAAAGATGTTCTGCTGCATCTGTGGGGTCATCCCGGCGCCGAACTGCCCTCCGACGCTGCCCATCATCCCCCGGTTCACCATGCTGCTGCGGTTAGCCAGCGCGGCCTCGGGGTTGGATGCCAACGGCGAGAAGGGACTGGTGGAGGTGGGAGGGTTTCCCGGGGTCGTACCGTAGTTTGGGGGGTAAGGGAACTGCTGGGGGGGTGCTTGGGGCAAGCGAGCGGCTCCGATCTGTACCGGGAGCCCGGCGGAGGGAGGGAGGTTGTTTCCGAAGCTTTGCTGTCTCATCAGGATGGCTCGCTGCTGCATGAGCTGCCGCTGCCGGTGCTGTTGGCTGTAGAGCTCGCGCTGGCGCTGGGCCAGCATCTGGGCATTGAGGGGAGGCTGCGGGGAAGGAGGGGGATGCCCGAATTATCACCGTTACCCTCCGCTTCTGGCAAACAGCTCAGAGACACACCCCCCCCACCCGGTGCAAGAGCCACGGGTGCTTCCCTTCACCGGCTTGGGGTGCCCATCCTCGGTTTGCAAGAAAAGCTGGAAAACCCCCCGAAATGCTGTAAATCGGCCCGTTTGTGCCACTGCAGGGCAGAGCGGGTTGGTGACATTGAAAGATTGGCCTCCGGACGTGGCAAATGGCAAAGCTCCAGGAGCCGGAGCATCCCCCAGGCTGGGAAAAGAGGCTCTCAGTCACCTGGCTGCCACCAACCACCCCTCTCCTCCGCGGGACCCGCTTGTGCCCTCACCGGGATGCTCCTGCACACCAGAGCCTGGGATCCCTGACCTCAACTCTTTCAGCTGTGAGCTGTTAAAAAAAAAAAAAACAAACAACCCATCCCACGAGCTTTTCCATCACCGTGGGCTCATTCCCCATATGGCCGAGCCAGATGTGTTGGAATTAATCACCTTAAAAAGCCTGACAAAGCCATCAGCGGCTGAAATTGGAGCTACGATGGGAACTGTTCGGTCCCCTTCCCTATCACTAACGCTCCCAGTGGCACATTAGGGACGTCACGCCGCTTCCCGAAAAGGCAAAGGCTTCTCCGAGAAGTGGAATAAAGTCACCAGAACTCAGCTACGCTTTCCAACTTCTCCTCGTACCCAGCAGATGTTTTATTCACTTTATTAGAAGCCAAACAAGAACTTTAGGGCCTGGGGATTTGCAGGATCATTAAGAAGATTCACTAGAGATTCTGGTATTTAAAGGATGGCATCTCTTTCCTAAAGATCCTTCTCAATTAAATGTGTTAGCACATTATTCTCCAAGCAATAACGGAGTATTTATACCTTAAGCAGGTGGAGGAGCTGGAATAAGGGTGAAGCAAAAAAAAAAAAAAAAAGAAAACCCAGCAGCTCATGTTGCAGTCACCTCTCTGCAGGCGGGAGAGTTTTTCTCTCCCATTAATGGCAGAGAGGAGCGAGCCAGGCTGTGCTAACAGGGAGGGCATGGGGATTAACCCCCAGTTTTTCCCAGCCGGAGGAGCGTGCTGCGTCCCCCTTACCTGCGGCGTGATCTGCTGCTGCATCCCCGCCCGCACGTTGAAGCCCACCGGGGAATTGGCTGCAAACTGGTTGAGGATCGCCTGTCGGTTTTGATGGATCAGCTGGAGGGGAGAAAAAAAAAAAAAAAACCAAACAAGCGAGGGAGATGTTCAAAAATCTGATGTAGGAGCTTCCCACCCGTCCGATCCTGTCCGATTGGGACGCACGGGCTGCAGGCAGGACCGAAGGTCCCTCCGCCGTGGCCCTGGGATGCGGAGGGGGAAGAATTCCCGGCTTCTGCCCCTGCAGCCGCTGCTGCAGCTGAAGTCGCAGCTGGTTGGGGGCCGTCGGGGGTCTGCTGAGCGTCTGCCGGGGTTGCATGGCCATGCTGGTGGGGAAGGCGCCGCGGGGCGGCGGTACCTGCACCGGCATGGGTCCGAAGGACGGCTTCTGCCTGACTGTGCCGGGGAAGGCGCCGGGGAGGTTGGTGGTGGGAGAGGCGGAGGAGTAAGGCTGGGGGTACATGCCGGGTTTCTGCTCCATCATGAGTGGTGGGGTGGCTTGTTGGGGCTGGAACCGCTCCGTCAGGGCTTCCAGCCCGCCGCCCTGGCGAAGGCAAAGGGGGAGGAAAATATCACTTTGGAGCCCCACCAGCACCCGACCCCTCCCGGGAGAGCTCAGAAGGGATGGAGGACGTGCCTGGCACGGGGCAGCCCGCCCGTAAGGATGCTGCTGCCTGGAACCCTCATCCCCTGGGCCAGGCGCCAGCCCATGTGAGCGCTAGTGCTGTGGCGGGGAGGGCATTAAACACCCGCTCCTCGGGGCGGCGCAAACCTTAGAGGGATGGAAATTATTTCTTTTGGCTTGCTTGGCAGCAAAGACCAAAGCCAGGCTTTTTGGAAGGGCTCAGGGCTTATCTCCCTGGGCTGGTGGGGGGGAGTGGCAGGGGGGAGGCAGGGCCTTATTCTGCCTTATTCTGCCTTATTCTGCCTTATTCTGCCTTATTCTGCCTTATTCTGCCTTATTCTGCCTTATTCTGCCTTATTCTGCCTTATTCTGCCTTATTCTGCCTTATTCTGCCTTATTCTGCCTTATTCTGCCTTATTCTGCCTTATTCTGCCTTATTCTGCCTTATTCTGCCTTCCTCTGCCTTATTCTGCCTTCCTCTGCCTTCCTCTGCCTTCCTCTGCCTTCCTCTGCCTTCCTTCGCAGGGTTTGCTAGCACTAAGCTGCTCATCTGGGCTCCAAACTGCAGCATGCCTGGCGGGACAGACCCTAAGGCTCAGAGGATCAACCTGAACACGGGAAATCATTTGTGCTCTCTCTCCTTTCCTGTTTTTATGCAGTCTTGGAGGCTCAGCTGGAGGCAGAGGGTATGGCGTTTCAGGTCCCCATCTGCCCCAAGAGCACCATGGACACAGGTCATGTCTGAGGGTGGGAGCCACGGACCCCCGGGACTGGGAGAGCTCATGGGGAAGCGTGGCTATGCTCCTGCGCTGCTGTTCCTTGCTAGGAACCCACGGGAGACAGGATCTTCTGGTCTGCAATACAGCCATTCCTACACAAACGAGCCATATTACAGCCAGGGGATGATTTCCACACCAGCAAATCATAAGATATTCTGTGCGGCTCTAGCTTGGCTCAGGCAGAGAAATTTGGTGTTTGAGCTATGAACCCAGAGAGAAGTAACACCTTGGAGCCAGAATCCTTAATCTGAGTCCCATGGATTGAGAGAAAATTGCGTTAAGAGAAACCACACACACAACCCCCTCCCCAAATCCCACCGCCTTTGGGACTTGGTTAGATGGTGCCCATCAAAGGACTGAGGCTCGAAGGCAGGGATGAGGATATGGGAATGGTGGTGGGGAAAAAAAGATACTGCTTAGGATCAATTAAGATGGTGGTGGGGAAAAATAAATTATTGAAGGTAAATTAAGATGGAGCTTACAGGGTTCAAGGGCTGGGTACTAGGACATAAACCAGCAGCCTGCGATGGCCAGAAACCACAGACCTGCTGAAATGAGGCTCTTTTATTCTTCTCTCCCCAAACCACCCAGTTTCCATCCGCCTCCTGATTAAACTGGGTGCAGATATCTCCAGCACCTCAGCCCACCATGTGTGTGGTAGCATGGAGAAGACGGTGGGTTTGGTGAAGTCAAGAGTAAATCCCCAAATTCTGCCCCAGGGGATGCGAACCCCTACCAGCCAATAAGACATCCTGGAAGGGAACGATCAACACGTTTTCCTCCCAGAGATGCCTTTATGCTGACATGTTGTTTCTCTAAAGATGTATTTCAAGCAAATATTTCACGGAGCTATTCAAAATATGTCTGAGGTTCAGCCGAAGCCATGGAAAAAGCCCAAGATTGCCATTAACGAAATGATCCCTGGACGGGAGCAAAGCTGGGTTGGGGTCCAAACATGAGATTAAACCCCCCTGAGCCAGCTGCCCCTTGGCAGGGGAAGCGCCGGATCGGCGTGGGGATGCTTGGCAGTGTCGGGTGCCATCCGAGGGCATCCCAATCCAGCGGGCCGATGCTGCTGGAGCCCGTCCTGCGCAGGAAAGGGTTGCTGGGGAGCTCTGCCAGCTGAGTCTGCAAAACCCTTGTGAAAACACTGAGCTGTTGCAGCTGCATCTTTGGCAAGAGCGTCCCTGATCCTTTGTACCAGAGAGGCTGAACTCCCTACCCCTAACTTGCAACAAAAAAAAAAAAAAAAAAAAAAAAAAAAAAAGGCAGGTGGAGATTTTGGAGGCACAGCCTTGAGGAAAGGGAGGTGGCAAATACCTGACTCGGGAATCAAGTCACTGACAGGTCCCTCAAATCGCTCGTGAAAAGATAAACCCTCCCGGCAGCGCAGCGCGAGGCATCACGTCAGGGCCACAGAAGGAGCTGTGCCACCTCCGGGCTTAAATGATGCAGGATCAGGCCCAGAGCAGCCAGGGGGATTTGTTCTGAGCAGCTTCTTTCTTAGGGTATCCCATTTATTAACAGGCTTTCGATTCTGGTCCTTGTTTTGGAAAAAAGCGTGCGTGCGAGTGCTATGGGGCATGGAAAAAGAAACCACTTGACGACAAATCCCAAGCGATCCGTCTCATTTTCCACGTCCCTTGCTAGCTCCCCTGCAGCCAGCCTTCTCCTCCTGCCGTGCCCTGTTATTTATGAAACCCTGGGCCCTTCAGAGGCATCTGTCCCCACGGATATCTGCAAACGGGGAGTCTCCACCGGAGCTCAGCTGCAGAAACCAGGGCCCCAGCGCTATCCGAGTAAGACAGCACCACTAAAAGCAAACCTTTTTTTTTTTT